TCTRGTTAAGGAACTGAAAAGGGTCTTTGGTGTTGACTTTGGGGAGATGGAGTCTCTGGAACCCACAGGGCACGTGGAGTAGATAGCCATGGATCATAAGCTCATATGTAATCATCTACATACCAGCTCTTGGTCCCTGAATGGTAAACCAGGTGGGGATAACGCTTGTGGCAGGAAAATGCTCTCACTTCTATCTATGTAAAGATGATCGATGCTAGGTAGAAATTTATCTTATAAATACGGTAAATTTCTCTGCTTATCCATAATATGGAGAGACTGAATTTACCATGGGTGCCAAATATGGGTAGAACGGTCATTTCTGAAAGAGTTACCTAAACTGCATCTTCATGAGCAAGAGCTGAGATGTAAAAAATCAAATTCAAAAGGTGCTAAAACTTCCATAGGTAGAAGAAGACCAATTAAGTATGGCTTAGTAGCAGAAAACATCTAATAAAAAAGGGTTTCAACTGGGAGAAGAATGGCTATTTTTAGTGCCCATGGAGGAAAGGAACAAATATGGCATGAACGGGGCCTCCATGCAACCAGTGCAGTAGGGCTACAGCAGCTGATTCTAATGACCATTACAAGGAAGCTGTAACTCATTCCAAGGTTACAAATCTTTGTTCCATGTGACAGCTGCTACCGAAGCTTGATGTATCTGGCAGGGGTAGATGAGGGCATAATTTAACCATACACACTCTTTCTATTGTAACTAAAGCCAAAAGAGCAACACAACTTCAGCACAACTCCTGGGAAAAGCAAAATAGTTGTTATGCTGCCTCTATGAAAAAACGTTTTTCTCTAAGGACTTCTCCTTCTCCTTCTCCTTCTCCTTCTCCTTCTCCTTCTCCTTCTCCTTCTCCTTCTCCTTCTCCTTCTCTGTAGATAGAGAACTATAATGCAAATAATGCAAAATCATCTAACAGTGCAACAAGTCATCAAGGGAGCTGTGAAACTTGCTGCTCAGTGGCAGTAGATGGTGGCTGTTCCTGAGGACTGCAAAATACCCCACGTCCACCCTGGACTTGCACTGAAGTGTGCAGACCAACAGCCCTGGAAGAAAATAACTGCACTGATGTTCACAATTCAGTTTCTTTTGCTTCAGATTTAGGTCTGAATTACTCTGTAAATTGGGAGAGAGACACTCCCAATGCCCTGGTACAGATCTAGGCACAGTTCTGAAGCAGCGATGGAAGTGACGGGTGGCAGCAGCAGAGAGACACCGCGGAGCCCCAGCTTCAGCACTCGGACTTGAGTTCCCGTTTGGCCGCCCGGCAGCAGCCACTGTCGCCTCTTTCACAGCAGGCCAGACAAGTGTGGTGCAGAAACCAAAACCAGCAAGTGCGCACGAAGGTAGGTTCTTGTTTGTCCCTGGTCACTGGGACACGAGCCCGTTTCCCCTTCTGACTCGGAAATATCTGAAACTAGAGCGATAGCTCTTGGCCATGTGCAAACGTTACTCAGGTGTATGAACCAGGCGCCGAATAAGAGGATAACAAATGTGGGTTGAATTTAAAATAACATAGCTTGGTTTATACCAATTAACATGTTCTGCAACTTAATGCAAAACTATTTATTTACTATTTTTAAAAAATCTKTTGTTAAAAGTAGAGTTTTTGCTCATATTATAGCTGAACCTACATGCCTGCAGTCCYAACTGCATCCCCTAGCTTGTAGCACAGAGATTACACCTTGTCTTTAAGAGACACTGATTCTGTATATTTGTTTGAGGACACACATATCTGGGGAAAAACGTGGCCATTCTAGAGACAAACAAAGTATGTTCTCAAAAACCGTTTAAGGAGAAGCAGCATTGTGCTAGACTAAGATTCTNAAATAATGCAAAATCATCTAACAGTGCAACAAGTCATCAAGGGAGCTGTGAAACTTGCTGCTCAGTGGCAGTAGATGGTGGCTGTTCCTGAGGACTGCAAAATAGCCCACTTCCACCCTGGACTTGCACTGAAGTGTGCAGACCAACAGCCCTGGAAGAAAATAACTGCACTGATGTTCACAATTCAGTTTCTTTTGCTTCAGATTTAGGTCTGAATTACTCTGTAAATTGGGAGAGAGACACTCCCAATGCCCTGGTACAGATCTAGGCACAGTTCTGAAGCAGCGATGGAAGTGACGGGTGGCAGCAGCAGAGAGACACCGCGGAGCCCCAGCTTCAGCACTCGGACTTGAGTTCCCGTTTAGCCGCCCGGCAGCAGCCACTGTTGCCTCTTTCACAGCAGGCCAGACAAGTGTGGTGCAGAAACCAAAACCAGCAAGTGCGCACGAAGGTAGGTTCTTGTTTGTCCCTGGTCACTGGGACACGAGCCCGTTTCCCCTTCTGACTCGGAAATATCTGAAACTAGAGCGATAGCTCTTGGCCATGTGCAAACGTTACTCAGGTGTATGAACCAGGCGCCGARTAAGAGGATAACAAATGTGGGTTGAATTTAAAATAACATAGCTTGGTTTATACCAATTAACATGTTCTGCAACTTAATGCAAAACTATTTATTTACTATTTTTAAAAAATCTTTTGTTAAAAGTAGAGTTTTTGCTCATATTATAGCTGAACCTACATGCCTGCAGTCCCAACTGCATCCCCTAGCTTGTAGCACAGAGATTACACCTTGTCTTTAAGAGACACTGATTCTGTATATTTGTTTGAGGACACAMATATCTGGGGAAAAACGTGGCCATTCTAGAGACAAACAAAGTATGTTCTCAAAAACCGTTTAAGGAGAAGCAGCATTGTGCTAGACTAAGATTCTCAACTTCTACCCCAAAATGTACCCCAGCTTCGTGAACCTAACGGGACTTGAAACCTACTTTTCTACCTGCTGTGAATTTTCAAAATAACAAGATCACCTCTAATCTTATTCCTCATGTTCCATGTATCTTCAGTAAACAGTTACACTGCTATGTGTTTTTTCTAGTTACCTTTTCCTCTTTACCCCAAAAAAGACAAGCCACTGATATTATTTATAAAAAGTCTTCTCAAGAAATTCTCTATATTCTATGCTGATAAATTATTTCAAATTCCAATTAGGAATGTCAGCTATTTCATACTGTTGATAGTAACATTCTTGTCTTCATTTTGCAGAGATTTGAATGACTCAGCATCACGTTCCTTGTGAGTAGGAAACATTTTGCAATTTCACTTTATGATATTTCAATAAAATTCTCATCTGCCCTTTCATGTGCCCTTCTGAGATGGCCTTGCTATAAAACATGTCCACGTGCTGCTGACTTAGCCACAGCTCCCCTGCTGCTTTCTCCTATTGCTCAACGCACCCTTGCCATGTAAACCCAACCAACTCTTACTCCCACCTCAGCTGAGAGTCTGTCTGAAAAAGCAAGGAGTTGAATCAATTTCTTACTAAGGAAAAAAACTTTTCTGCTTGGGAAGAAAACTATTAGGAAATGCCACACCAACAGCCTGCTACTGCATGAAAATAAACAASTGGCAAATGCAAAAAATACAAACTATAGCTCATTGAAGATGGTYGACTGTTAAAAATCAAAAAATGCCATTCCTCCTGAATTTTTCTAACAGTTCAATCCAAGCCAATGCAGAACACAGGACTAAATTTGTAGTACAACCTTCTTTCGGCTGTATTCTCAGCACCTCCTGCATCACTCCTATCCCATTTCCTATCTGCTTCTGTGCTTGCTGCACTACGAACTTAGGGGGCCAGTCTATCTTTCTCAGTMCATTTTTGGCACCCTGTTGTTAGCTTTAGGCCATCTGGGTCTAAGGAAAAAAAATTWAAAAAAGAAAAAGGAAGGAAAGAGAGAGGAGCCAGTGGGTGATGGGTCATGCCAYGAGGGAGCAAGTTCAATCAAAACGTAAAGAAGGAGCTGCAGATATACTGCAGGGTGAGCTTGGCCAGGTAGGGAAGCTTGTCAGCATGTGGGTAAAGGCCTCAGCTTTAGCCCTGCTCCCTGGAACTTGTGCGTATTTCTCAACCAACGTTGATGAAAAACAACAGCTCTTCCTGACAGCAACCTCTTCCAGACAGAGCGAGCGGTGAAAACACACCCCTGGCCTTGAATGTTCTCGGGCAGGGCACCGAACCTCGAACCCGGGCTCCCACATTCGGGGCACGTGCTCTACCACTGAGCTGAAGGAGAAAAAGGAAAGTGTTACGGAATTTGAAAACAGTTACTGACATTACGAAAAGCCAAGTATGAACTCTGGGGCCACTTCTTCAATAAAATCTCAGAGGAGAAAAAGAGGCAGGAAAAATCTAGTTTGCATCATTCTACAGGGAGCTGTGCTCTGAGCTGCTTCAAGACTGAAGTGTTTCTGGACACACTGAAGACCTTCTGAACTGGAAGAACTTTCAATACTACAGCATTACGGCAATTTAGACAGACATTTGAATTGAGACTTTAAACATATTAACGTGGACTTAAATGTTTGAATTCCTCTATTTTGGATCTCAGTCCAAAAAACGCCTATGATCTTAATTATACCTATGATCATTCAAGAAGCCTGGTATAAAGCCTTTGGATCTTTGGTGCAACCACAACTGCAACTGCTCCTATCCTTTCTGATGTTCCTAATCTGGAGCACACCATGTGCTCAGATAGAGGCCAAGTAAAGCTTGACTGAGGTTTCTCAGCCAGTCTTCAGCACAGGCACCTCACATCTTATGAGTACCTCGATGAATATCAAACATATCCTAATCCATTTTCCCTTTGAAGAAGGTCTATAGTTAAATGTAGCAGACCAGGAACTGAATTCAGGTTCTCCTCCATACGCTCTTTAACAGCAATAATAACACATGGCAGCCTCACACAGATGCTCTTATATCAAAACATATTGTCTCAATTTTTCATGCTTTGCACAAGATGTCCGTAAATATCTGAAATATTAAGGAAAAGAACAAAAACCTATTTGTAAGTAATATCTAAATTATTCTGAGAACTAAGCAGAAAATCCGGCCCTGAATTATAAAGTAAACCAAGAACTTTGTTGAAAATAAACCAAAAATGTTTACACATGATTTTTTATTTAGCATTCATGTACTATTTGCCCAGTTCATTTATGGGGTAAACCATACTCATACTTTCATAAAATAATGGCTTTTTTTTTTTTTTGTCTTGGAGGTGAAACAGTCAAAGGTCAGTGATGGTATCTGAAGGTCAAAGTTTCTCCTGACTTCTCTTCTCTTCATGCAGGAGCTGATTTAATACACTGCTCTGTTTCAGAGCTTTTAGATTACAGGTATCTTCACTTACAACAGGGACATCTTCACTACTATCCTCAGCTGTCAGATCTTCACTGTCTGACAGTGTACACAAGAGTGTGTCATTTTCATAGGTAGGAAAATAATACCTGAAAACAACAGGAGTCAATGAATTAGAATATTTCTCTACGCCACATGTTTTGTTTCAAACAGTCTGAGCACATTTTATGAGATTAGATTTGAAAAAGGAAAAATAAAGCAAGTCTGATTGTCTGGACTGTGAGTAATCTGTATGCCACACATCTTGGAACAGTCTTACAGAGAACAGACGGGATGGAAACAGACTGGTCCTTCCCCCCATTTATTTATCTACATATTGTCACAACCAGATTCATCCAACATGAAATGCTGAACTGAACTGCTGAAGTTAGGACACTGGTTGCCTTGTACTCTACTGCCTATGAAGACATCTCCTAGAACTGTTCTGCCTTCTTACATGCTGAATCAGTGTCATGCCACACTCTCCACTTCCTATAAAGAAAACCAAGAGCGAACAACATCTCCATACCTAAAGCTAGGCAGACGTTATGGATATATCCACACTATATGTGGTGCAGATGGGTTCAATTTGATTTTCTGACTATTTGCCCACCCTGTATCTTTACAATCAATTAAATATGTGCCAAGTGCCTTTCCAGGCATGAACTGCTGTGCCAAGTGCCTTTCCAGGCATGAACTGCCCTTGTATATGGGACACTTGAGATGGCAGCATGGGGACACTTTGAACCTTGGTTCCACCTGGAGGGAACCTGTCCACAGCACATCAGTTACGCCCTTCCCTGAACTACATGACTGTTAATAAAGACAATTTTGCAATCCAGACAAGTTTGCAACAAGAAACTCCTTTAGCATATCAACTTGCTAACATAGACAAGTTGATACAGGAGAACAGTTCCCGTGCTCCTCAACTTCAGACAGTAGAGGGATTTCTATTTCTGATTAGCTCTGAGATCATTTATTACTTCATATGGGCCAAGAGAATCGCTGAGGAGCTCTGGGGACTGCAGGAGTGTCAATCCAGAACTTTTGGATTAATCCTTCAAAGATGGCATCGAGTAACAGCATAAATACTGGAAGAAACATGCTAGCTCTTACTGTGGTTGATCCCACGTCGACCTGGCTGGCAGGAATGTAACGTGTTTGGTCTCTTCCATATGACTTATCAATTCTGTTTTAGATTGAAATTTCTCCTGGCAAATGTAACAACGACAATGATGGATTTCTCTTCTGATGAAATTCACTAGTTTTACTTGCTGATAAAAATTCAATCCTAGGGGAGGTGGTAGAAAACAAGCACTTTAGAAAGGCTTTATTAGATTAGGTATAAATGTTCATTTTTGTAACTTTACAAATCAACTGAACAATGTTTTTTTCCAGCTGCAGGGCTTTTTCCTGGACCTTCTTTTAAGTTAAAAATTACAATTGTTTTTCTTTCTCTCAGTCTACAGCAGAAAACAAATACTGTCCAAACACAACTCAGAGCAGCATCTTCTAAGTTGGAAGAAAGTCTTAACAGACATCATCATAATAATAGTAATAGGACTACTTACTATGATGATTATTATTACAGGCTCTAGCAGGAGTTTGAACACACAGAATGAGCAAAAAGTTATCTGTGAAAAAATTCAATGGTTCAGAGGAAAAGAGTAAACATCAATTATAAAAATAAAGTGTTCTTGACTGCCCTTGGTCAACAGGCAGATACAGTTTCCATAATGGAAAAGTTACTGTCTGAACAAAAAAGCCAATTGACCCAGTTGTTTTATGATGTGGTTTTCTTCACGCTAGTGGGAAATGCTGACCATTACAGCATATCTTACTCACCATGCTCTGACTTTATTTTAGGAAAGTCAAATCCATGTGATTTCTGGAGGGAGACAAAGAAAACAAAGAAAAAACATCTCATTATCTCATCTCTCATTGTCACTACTAGTATTCCTAGTAGTTGAGAACTGCTTACATTTTTATAGATTGACACAGACATGTGCATACACTCATGCAAATACAAATATATGAGTACAAACACATGAATACAAGTACAAATACTCCCAAATCTCTAACTGATGCTACCTCTTTATCGGGTCAGTCTGTCCACTCACCAGTAGTAGTTATTCATGTTCTCATTATAAAACTTGGTTCCTCTGAGTATTTGAGACCTGATGCTATCCACACAGTGCATTAGTTGTGCACTACAGAGAACATTCTGATGCAGCAATTTTGACCTCAATAAAGGTGCTACAATGCTACTTTTTATTCCAAACTAATGAAAAAAATGGTATTTAAAAACAAGTCTTACCTGCATATGAAAATAAAGTTTTTCTGTGGTGTCTGCTTGTTGTTCACAGAACAGGCAAACTGCACACATGGGATGCTCCTCCCAGTCAGACCAGTCTCTTATGATTAAAAGGCAGAAAAAAAGAGAGATTAATTTAATTGTGTAAAACAGAAGAGATTTTGTGAAGGAGCATTTCAGATACTGCTTTCGTATCTCATAAGTAAATCCAGACAAACAGAATAAAGTGATGGAAAAGACATTGTGCATTTACAGGCAAGGATGTGATGGGGAAAAAAAGCTTTATTGTCTAAAATAATTATAAATTCAAGATTAACTTAGTAGGAACTGAGTAGGAACTGCATTCCTACGCAGACAGGCAGCAAGTCCCACACTGCTAATTAGTGGGATCTTAACTTCAATCTCAATCTGGTTTGACAAATCACAACAAATCATTTTCATTATTTGTTTTACACAATGTTTCATCCTTTTTTACACCTTTCTAAGCTTTCAATCATAGGATCACAGAATTTATCCCATCCATTTCCCAGGATCACAGAATAATCCCATCCATTTCGATATACAATACTGCTGAGGTATTACCGCTTCCACTTTATGATCAGGTAAATTTAAGCTCAAGTGACAAATAGAACCATAACCTGCCAGAGGTCCAATGCCCAATTTGGCTCTCCAAACTAATGAGTAATTGCTACTTTCAAACAGTTTCCTGCTTATTCAGTTCTCTTGGGTCAAGCCAGATACTTGTGTAATGATCTGAGAGCCTGGAGCAGAGAGGAATGCAGAGGAGAGGCAGATGGTGCCCTCACTTAGCACTGCTCAGAAGTTTGCTTTGGAATCCTGATTTAGTCTCTAGTTGTTATCATTTTATCAAATTTTCTTTTTATACCATTTATTTCTCATGATGAGATTTTGGTGTTTACTCTTGATTTTAAATTTGAGTAAAAGCAACTCAATTATTTCTGAATACAAAAGTGAAAAAAAAAATCTTTTGCTCACATCATTAAACACTCTAAGGACTGTTGTTTGAGTGATTTGCAACTGGAAAATAGGTGTGGGTTGTAATATGAAATTTGCAGCCCTCGCTGTGAAGTATCTTTTATAAGAGTTATCTGGGAGTTGATTTGAATGTCTTAAATAAATTGTGATGCTGTACTAACTATGTAGAATATTTTCCCTGTAGCTACTTTCAACAGTAACATTCTTGCAAGTTTTTAAAATGGTCACGTAAGTAACTCTTACTCTTCCAGGTTGTCTAGCAATTCCCGGTCATCTTCTGATTGTACTTCCTCCCAGGACTTTCCAAATTCCTGGACAAAGAAAGAAAAAAGACATTTCCTAGTTCACATCACATTTTACACATGGAATCAATAAGCATTTGAGAAGTCAAATCATCAACTCATCAAATCATCACAAAAAAAGAAACAGTTGAGAAGTCAGATCATCACATTTTCTTTCTTCTGTGTGCTTTAGTTATTTTTTTAAACAATAATTCATTTTACCTTCCAATGGGAGCATTAACTATAGCAGAGCTGGGAAGATGACGATTTGACACAGAGCTCTGGCGAGCCTCGCTCAGGCTTTGTGCAAGACTCGAGCGTTGCAGCACTGCCCGAAGGGCCCCGAGGTGGGTGTTTATTGCAGCTTGCCTTTGCTACCGCACTCGCTCAATCCACCGTGCCCACCTCGCTCCTCATGGAGCTGCTTAATCAACGTGGCTGTCACACCTGAGAGCAGCTGGCCTGGCTGCAGCACTCACACTGGGCACCTCGTACGAGCCTGGGCTGGCAGCAGCACGCGGCACAACCAGCTCTAGAGTATCAGAAAGGCTCCCTAAGCCAAGGCAAAGACCTCTGAACTACAGTCCAATTTCTCCCCCATCCTCTGCTGAGATGTGGATGTGAGGCTATCTATTCCTGCAGTTCTCTTCTCCCTTTCACCCCGTGCACTGTTTATTTATCCCCTGAAGACCTTGGGCACGGAGCGCCTCGCATTTGTGCAGCGTTCAGCACCATGGCGAGGCCTCTCAGCACGGCTGTGATATAAATAACAGGCAATAAAAACTCAAGCTCTTGCCTGAGACACCACCAGGTCTTTAGTTTGTATTTTTCTTTCCCCTGAAAGACTCTTTCTGCCTTTTAAAATAAACCAGAACACACTATCCAGCAATCCAAGCAGTACTTTTGAACCTGGACTTTTAGCAGTTCTGACGCATTCAGGTAGGTCACAGCTCATCATCATGGCCCCATTAGAAGAGAAACTGAAGGCTCAAGGAAAGGCCATCCATCCATTCACAGTAATTTCACTTGAAAGATTCCCTCTTATAATATATTTATTAACATACTTAACAAGTATTATTATTGCCTTTATGGTTGCTTGGAAAAAGAAAGAAAAAAAAATCCCTCACTTAACAACTTAATGGGAATTTTTTAAAGCTGTTACCATCAGGTAAATGATGCACAAATGTCTCTAGACAGTTCTAAACATAACACCATTGCTAATCACAGAATGAAAACGGAGTGATTAATTCTGCATGCGACGTGGTAGCGTGAAAGCTCTCTGGCTACCGGGGAGACTCATCAATGTCACCACTGCTGTGAGACAACGTGAGGCCATTAACACCTCTCGCCACATGTTCTCACAGCCGCACAGTGGCTTTTTGYGGCTGCAAATGGTATGATCTTAATGAGAGGATAGAAGCTCGCAATCAAACGTCAAAATGAAGATGAATGCTCACAATTTACCCATTTACCAACCTGGAGGGTATGCGCCCAAAAGCCCGCGTTCAAAACAACAGCCAACACAAAACTTCACCTTTTAATTAGAGGTGAAGGGAGCAAACAATCACACGTGAGCTGTGTTGCTGTTTTCTACGGTATTTCTGCAGAGAAGGATCTTGTAAGAGGTCTCTGTGTCCCTCAGCTATTTATATTTAGAGGAGGGAGAAAAAGAGAAAAAAACTAATCAGCTCTTCTATCACTGGAAAATTCCACTGTGGGAAGGTAACTGGGGACGTTATAATGATAGTGTCAAGAGACTGAAACTGAGCAATTGGGTGGGAAACGGTTCTTAGAAAGACTTTTAAAACCCTCTGGCATTTTTTCATACTCTTTCAAATCTACAGCCTGATGAGCATCTGGGACCAAGGTGCCTTTGTTGAGCATTCAGCTTGCCTTGTTCTTTCATCCGAGATGCGCGAGCTCCCAGTAATCATCTCTGGAGACTGCTAAGAAATTCTCAGCAAAGCCAGAAGGAAAACTAGACTTGACATTGTTAATAGTTCAAACAACAGAAAATGTATCATTAAAAAATATAAACACAGAAAAACAACTGTTTTTTTAATAATACTTGCTATGCATCTCATAGAGAAGAGGCTCCTGTAGAGGAATGGGGAAATCATGCAATTCTGTGGGTTTTTTTGTTTTTTTTCCCCCCCCCCCCATTGTATCTTCTCCTGTCAGGTGCAGTTTTAAGAGGACTAGAGGGCTTTTAAGAGGCCTTTGTGCTTCATGGAGGTGCCACACCTCAGCATGGGAGTAGGTGCTGAGATGGGAGCAAGGAGAAGCGGGCAGCTGGTATCCAACATTTTGCAGTTCCCAAACTGCAGCAGACAGAATTCCTGTTCTGGAATGCCTGCAGAGCATGGCAGCTCCAAACAGCTGCTGCTTTCCCTGCAAACTCCCTCTTGTTCTTCTTCTCACCTGCCCCACTATGGTCACCTGCTTTGTTTTATATGGCTGCAGATCTTACTGTGGCTTTACCATGCCGAAGAGACGGCCTCACTCCTAATATTACTTGATTCAAATTGGATTAATTTGGAAGTGTTCATCCACATGGTGCCTGTACCTTCCCTTGAAGAGAAATGAATACACCAATGAAATAAAGTGTAACTATCAGCAATGGATAAAGTGTTTTCCTTTAAAATTTTACAAAACATACACTCCTTAAATAAAACAGGTAAAGTATATGTCGTGTCTCCCCCCACTCCTCTGAAAAAATCCTCTCCATCTCCAGCTAGATACAATAAGGACAATTTAGGTTTTGGCAAAAGGAAAAACATCTTTTCATCTTTGAGGAAAAATAAAGGCTGTAAGAAATAAGTTTTCTAATAAATACTAGTACTATTTTCAGCTAAGAACATGTGAATAACATGAGGGTAATGAAAGCTGCTTGCAGGCCATGACAGAAGTTATGGGAAGTCTCAGAATACCAAAGATCTGCACAAGACTGGCCCCTTTATTATTCCTTTCTATGCCAAAATAAGAATTTAGGGAAGGAAATGATCCATGGACATAATGTATAACTTTTGTTAAGAAAACACATCCTCAGAATTGCACTAAAAACACACAAGCGAAGCCAAAAGCACCAAGCAGGGAAGGCAGGAAGAAAGGCAAGCCTACGGCTCCAAATGAAGTCAATGGGAGCTTTGCCACTGACTTAAAAACTGGAGCAAGAACTGGCCAGAAGATCATGAGGCAGTTCAATTACTGTTCTCAGGACATGTGAACAAAAAAACCCTCTCAGTACAAAAGCCACAAAATAAAGGAAACTGCCAGTTAAGACTATTAATAAGACTATTTTACATAGTGTTCGATGAGTATAATATATAATGGAAATTTATATAAAAAAGGACAGTAACAAAGACTTCTGCTGCAAAGAAGATATCTCTAAGAAGGCTGTACAAAAGAACTATCCATCTAAATAGCTTAGGGTCCAGTTGCTGATAGAAAAGCTCTATGGTACTCATTCCGAGAGCAAAATTAGACTGTGATGACATTCATGCTTATCATTAGAGACCTACTTAGTTTTTTTAATCTCTTTACTATGCCAACAAACTTGACAGGACAGACGTCTGGAGAAATCTTTGTTACATTCTGAAACCTCAAACTCTTCTCACAACTGCAGAACGGATGGGATGGGGCCGCCCTGCTCCAGCGGGGTCACCTGCAGCCGGCCGCCCAGGACTGCGCCCGACCCACAGCACTGAAACAACTGCAGCCTAAAATACAAGAACCTACATTTTCTGTGAAAGGATAGAAAAAATGGATAAATTAAAAGTCTCCATCTTTAGATCAAGATATACTCAGTAATATATATTGCAACAATACTCCTGCCATTCCAAATACGACATCCAATCCACGACTGTGCCTGTGAACTCCCTGTGACATTTAGAGCAAAAGGAAGGAGAGAACTTTAATACTCAGTGAGAAGTTAGTAAAGCTTGATAGAGCTCCTTAAAAACAAACAAACAAACAAACAAACAAACAAACAAACATGTTCTAGCAAAATATGAGGAGCTGAGGGAAAGGAAGAAATGCCACGACATGGAGTAATTTTGAATTTAGATTTCATGATACCTGGTGTCCCCTGATTTAGATTTCATGATACCTGGTGTCCCCCAGGGGTCAGTTCTCGGTCCGGTCCTGTTCAACTTATTCATTAACGACCTGGATGAAGGCCTGCAGCGCGCCCTCAGCAAGTTTGCCGACGATACCAAACTGGGTGGAGTAGCTGATAGCCCTGAGGGCTGTGCTGCCATCCAGAGGGACCTGGACAGACTGGAGGACTGGGCGGCGAGAAACCTCATGAGGTTCAACAAGGGCAAGTGCAAGGTCCTGCACTTGGGGAGGAATAACCCTGGACACCAGTACAGATTAGGGGTGGACCTGCTGGAGAGCAGTCCCGCAGAGAGGGACCTGGGTGTCATGGTGGACGACAAGTTGACCATGAGGCAGCAGTGTGCCCTGGTGGCCAAGAAGGCCAACGGGATCCTGGGGTGCATTAAGAAAAGCGTCTCCAGCAGGTCGAGGGAAGTGATCATCCCCCTCTACTCAGCCCTGGTGAGGCCACATCTGGAGTACTGTGTCCAGTTCTGGGCTCCCCAGTACAAGAGTGATGTGGAGCTGCTGGAGAGAGTCCAGCGCAGGGCTACCAGGATGATCAGGGGCCTCGAACATCTGCCCTATGAGGAAAGGCTGAGAGAGCTGGGTCTGTTCAGCCTGGAGAAGAGGAGGCTGAGGGGGGACCTGATCAGCGTGTATAAATACCTCAAGGGAGGCAGTGAGGAGGAGGGGGGCGGCCTCTTTTCAGTGGTGGGCAGGGATAGGACTAGAGGAAATGGCTTCAAACTGAAGCATCGGAAGTTCCACAGGAACTTAAGGAAGCATTTCTTCACTGTGAGGGTGACAAAGCACTGGAACAGGCTGCCCAGAGAGGTTGTGGAGTCTCCTTCTTTGGAGATCTTTAAAACCCACTTGGATGCAGCCCTGTGCCACGTGCTCTAGGTGACCCTGTGTGTGCAGGGGAGTTGGACTCGATGACCTCTGAGGTCCCTTCCAACCTTCGGCATTCTATGATTCTATGATTCTATGATTCTATGATACAGAAAGCAGACCTTTTGCAGCAAGCCTAGCTTTCAGCATTCACCGAACATATATGTATGTACAGTGGGAAACAAGAGTTATTTTTCCTTATACATACAGGCCAAGCTAAAGTTCCTCCTTTTAACCTCATTTCCCTCTTTGTGCAAAAATAAATGCTATTTTGAGAGCAAGCACTTTCTGCTATGTAGGAAGCACCATCTTAAAATATGCGTGTTCCACAAAACTCCACAAAATATTAGTGTGCAATTCCACATTTAACAAGGAACTATTTTACAAGCTTTTCAGACAGGTTTTGAAAGGAAGCTATCACTACAGTTTTTCCACTTCTAAAAAAGAGGAAGTTCAAATGTGGAAGACATAAAGGGGAGGGACAATTAAAAAATCTTTAATCACACAATGCATACAGTTTTGCCTGTTTGCATTTGTAGTGGGAAATTTTGGAGCAAAAAGGAGGTGTGTGTCTGTTTTTCTCCCTCCCCTCTCCCTTCTATTTTTTCTAAATACATCCTGTTTTTAAAGGAAGAAATATTACAGGTTTGGATATGGCTACAGTTTGAAGATTAGAAGCAGCCAGTAGAAATAGTTCACAGGTAAAGTGCAATGAAGACAAATGAGAATGTGTGAAAACATGGATATAGCAAAGCACAAAGAAAAAGAGTAACAAAGCAAAAAGAAAAAGAAAACCAAAACAGGAACTGTTGCTCATTCCAAGTATGCCTCAGAAGCAGCACTGGCAATGCACTGCCACAAACCCTGCATGTGACTGTACTGCCTCCCCCCAAAATTTAAACATTTTAGTGGTTTGCCATTTTTTATCCAAATTACATTTAGCATCTTCTGTTTATAATGCCGAGGACCTGAAAAATGCATCTCCAAGTGATGCTGCTGGCTCTGGAATACCATTGTGTGGGCTGGCATCAGAAGTCACTCGGCGAAGTCCTGCCCTGACCACACAGCACTTGGGCATGATCCATAAGCTATATCGATCCCATGTTACCCCTGTGGATATTAACCCGGCCCCAGGCTATTCTGCTCACTAACACAACTACTGCGACACAGCCAGTTTCTTCACTGATGTTGAGACCTTCTTGTATCTCCTTAAAATTTCTGGGACTTCTCTGCACAGTCCTCTAGTTTTCAGTGCTTCACTAAAGCAGTTCTGAGATGCTCCCAGTCATTGTGTAGACTCTTTCTCATCTTCAACTATGAAAAAAACCTTGGAAGACTAATGGAAGAATAACAGTTTTTGGCTAAACCAAGTTGGCAATCAGCCATAATGAGAAGAGAACGATAATCCTACACACTTAGTCTGATGGGCTTAAGAGAACCATGGAATAATTTCGGCCGGAAGGGATCTCTGGAGGTCATTTGCCTCAATTTCCTTCTCAAAGCTGGGAGAAATTCAAAGTAAGAGCCAAAGCTGAACATCAAATACAAATTACATGACAGAAGGGAGGTTAAAGAGGCTGCTAGGTTCTGAACACTGTATATTGCCCACAGGACTAGCAGGGAAGAACAAAAATATTAACTTGTACAGGAGAATTAAATACAGTTTGGTTGAGAAGCTGAGAACAACCACTTGGCAGAACTTCAGAGTTTTTTCCCTATCAGTTTTTAAAGCAGCGAAATCTGTTTTAAAAAAAGAGCCATATACCTAAGATCATTGATTTTTGAAACGAAGATATACAGAGACTGAGGAAATTAATTTCATCTTGGGTCAGAGGGACTGGGCAGAGCATCAAATGTCTAACTTTTTGTTCTTAGTATTGGAGTAAAGCACAGGGACAGAGATTAAAAAGAAAGAGTAGGAAAAACACTGTAAAAAAAGACTGAAAAATCAATTTGTAAGGTAGATATCAGTGCATATAAAAAGCTTAGAAACTAATTTAACTGAAACATCTTTGGGACAGAATGTAGCAGTTTTGAAGCAGTTCTTGTATTCAACAGCTGAAGACAGTAAATGAGTATTTGCTACTCACACACGTACACACACTCTGCAAGACCTGGGATAAAAAATATGAGTACCAGCAACATGTACTTACCTGGGGGCTAAGAGCAAAGCATTCAAAGTATTTGTCTGACCTTTATTTCTTTCATTTTCCTCCTCTTTACACTGACTTTACATTTTGAGGAGCATTTCTAGCTTGAGGCTTGTATAAAACAAGCTAAAAGTCAAAAATATTCAAGTTAGTTCTCCATTCATTTCATTACTGTATCTCATTTTCCCTTCACAGAAGGGAAATTCTGGTGATTAAAGGAGAGACAGTGCACTAATAACACTGAGATGAGAGTCTCTTCAAGCAGTGCTCTCCCTGCATTTCTCAAAACCAATTCTCAAAAACAAACATTTACTTATCCTTAGTTTAGCAATTATCTGGACTATCATGCCATAGCAAAGCATATTTCTTAAGGAGTTGTTCCTCAGAGTTTTGACCTCTGTACTATTCCCAGGCTTGGAATTACTCATTTTTAACAAGATACTGGTTTTATCTCTCCAATCAATTTACTGATTATTCACAGAGCTTCTTACCAAGTAATTAATGATATAAAATCTGTCGTATTCTTTGTTTTTGGCATTGATTCTGCGATGCTGCTTCTTTCTCATGTGATCTTTAAGTGTGTTTTTGTCTCTGAAGACTTTTTCACAGTATAAACACTGCAAACTAGAATAAAAAGGTAAACAAATTAACATGTGGAAGCAAAAGTAGTACAAAATAACATACTTATTTAATCCTAGAGCATGTGAGAGTAACCAAGTGAAAAACAGTTTGTTTGGAAACAAAAAAGTACTAGTGAAGTCAATCAAACCTGGAGATGATGACACATCACAAAAAACATTTAAAATGGAGACATAAATAATACAAATAACTTCACTGTTTGCCTCACATGCAAAATAGGAGAAACATCTTATTTACTAATTGTTTCAATATATGTGAGGGTCACAGCCTGGTTAAAAAACTGAACTCTTAACTCACATGTACTTATTTTGGACACCAACCTATCAGTAACTGTTTCTCTGTAACATAGGATAAAAAAAAATAAAGCTGATTTCTTAATGTACACTTAAAAAATTACATTTTATATTTATATATAAATATGCATTTATGTTTATTTATAAGATGATTTTTTTTCCTGACTCAACATGCACTTCTGATTCAAAAATGAGTCTAAAAAAGGTTGGACAAGGTCATCTGTGGGCTTTGCAATCCTAAGAAGTCAAATTTACTAAATCAAATCATAACATGTATATATGTACACACATTATATGAGTGTGTGTGTGTGTGTGTGCGCGTGTATGTACCTATATATAAAACTCAGGACGGCGAATACATTAATTAATAATTGTTATTTTATCATGGTGTATTTTCCAGAACAATTGAAACAAAACACAATTATATGCACTATCTTAAATTCTCTATTAGAGGTGGACAGATTGATAAAAGAGTTGTTCTCTTAAAGCTGAACTTACTACATCATTGGACTATGATGACAGTATCAAGAAGCAGTTTGCATTTTACCCTAGATGGGTATCCCTGAAACAGTAAATACAGAGATAGAGCAGTGTGCTGAGCTTATGGGAAGGCCCTTGTTTAAGGGATGTTCATCTCCAACAGCCAGCTAGCTGATGTGCTCACATATTTCTTCTTGTGAGGAATGGCCAACATACTCCGCCAGGATGGACACTCTTAGGGGACCTTAGGAAAAATTATCTTTGCAGGGGGGATAGGCCTCCCAGAAAACCAGTTCCAATGAAAAACAAACTTTGTAACTGTGGGATTACATCTTCTTATAGGAGATGCTGGTTAGCAGCAAAGAGAAAAATGATGGGAAGGGAAAACAAAAGCACTTTAAGGTATGTATTAAAAAGTACAGATATTAAAGAATTATGGCAGCCTTTCATTACACTGGAAGCAATTTCAGTAAGTGTTTGATTGCAGGATTCACTATGAAAGACTCCACCTATATGAAATCCTCAGGGCCTCCTGGTAAATGATGAAGCTGCACTTTACCAGTATGCAAGGTAATGCATTAGACAACACCACCCATAACATAAAACGTGGTATTAACATAGCCTGCTTTGAGAAGGAGTTGGGAGAGATGAGGAACGCGTCCGGGGGCCAGCAGAGAGCTGCGACACAGGCTATTGATACATACAGAGAGACAAAAGGTGACTGGTGTAAGAACTTTAACTGATAAAAGACATTTAGCAAAAAGATGGTTAGGGTGAGAAAGAACAAGACTCGAGCACTGATGGGACGTTGCTCATGTCAGTGGAGCTGTGCAATGGGACTCATAAGTGAAGCACTGGACCCACTATTGCAGAGACCGTAACTACAAAGAGTTAGGGATCAGCTTGCAAGAAAGCCTGGAAAAGCCTCTAAGGGTAACACACAACAGACACATTAACTTACAGTTTGTTCCTAGTCGCTCATAAATGCTGAATCAATTTTAACTAGCTTACTTCTAAGATTAAAGGAGACATGTCCTTAACTTACTTGTCAAGCTTATTCTGCAATACAGCCAAAAATTCGTAACAATTCACGATGTTATCTGGCAGCCCAATGTTAAAAGCATGCTCTCTTGCCATGTGATTGAGAAGGACAGATCTACAGCAAAAAAAAATGAAACAGAACATTAGGTATTTTATAATACATACAAGAATTATTCAATTAGGGGCTCAAACTACACTAATTGCTTTAAAAATGTACACAGGTCATCAACATTAAGTAAACAATTATAGTGTTGTAGTCCCTGCTAGAAAAAGAATACAAGTGTACTGAAATAGGAAGCTTTCCATCTGAGCCCTACTGCACATTCAATCCCACTTCAACTGCCTAATCAGCACGCATGAGATATAGGCCCCTCGTGGAAAACAACAATGTAATTTTATTTCGAGTGCCATTGTTAGCAAAGCTCATTTATTAACTCGAATAAGCAAGCCACAGATTTCAAATATTTGTCTGGAGAATCTTCTAAAAAGCCGTTTTTCAGTTTTCTCTATGTTGGTTAACAAAACAAATCCTTGGGCTTCATATGTTTTTACTCAATTTTGTTTCTCACCGCACTAGCAACACAAAGAGGACTCAGAGTACTCAGGAACAAAAATAACAGATGTTCAAACAAGTTACCTTAATAATAGAGGACGAAGTGCTTAATTTTCTTATATTCAGTTTCCCCCACAGCAGAGAAGATTTAAAGTGCTCCTTAGCCAATTTTGTATACGTTGTGGAGCAAATCCTGCAAGTAAATCAAGCTCACAACCAGCACTAAGATTCTGAAGTCTCTGCTGTCATCACTCTGAGCTCCCTGGGTGCCAAACTTCTCCACGTGACACAGCTAAGCTTCTGCTACTGGGTGCTAAAGACAATCCAAGCGTTTACACCACTGTCCTAGCAGGATTTTCAATCCCTCAGTACAAGAGTAATCAGGATGAAATGTTTTCGGGGCTAAATAACTTGTCCTTTACTGCATCAGGCAGTAAAGAGAGAAGGACATTCACTCAAAGTGAGAGGGGACTTGAGCTCGGGTTCTTCTACCTCTGCAGAGCACCAGAACTACCCGCAGGGATTAGACTTGGCCTCTCCACCTGAGACTTTTTAATGGGCAGGAATAAATCTTCACTGCAGCAGGGATTTGAATGCAACTCCCTCTCACCTTGGACTGATGTAGCAAAACTCCCTGCTCATTCTCATTTTCCTTTCCTGTTTTTTTACTGAAAATTTAAGCCCCACCAAACTAGTGTGAATTTGGACAGGAAAGTATGTAACTTCATGGTGTACCTTTGAGCAGTCACACCGGCTCAAGCCACTGTCCTTACCCCAAATCAACTGTCCCCTCAGTGACTCTTTTTATAATGGTTCAGTTCCCAATTCTTCTTAATATACAGTTATAAAAAGCTGAACAACAAAAATAAAAGGACTGAAAGGTGGAAGGGCAACTATTCCAAGAGACATTGCAGTTTGAAGAAATAATTATAGCTTACATCCTCCAACAATCCAGAGTCTTAGTGCTTAATCAGTAGCCCTCTGAGCTGATGACACTTCAAACAATAAACAAAGAAGGTGAGCAGGTACAAAAAAAAAATAAGTGAACAGGTAAATATACAAACCTATTTCCTGTGAATTCCTGATCACAAAACATACACGTGCTATGAAATCCTGTGTCATATCTCTCCTTCTGCTGCTGCTCTATAATTTCTCTCTATAAAAAGAAAGATATATAATTGTTCAATGAAAAAGCAAAGATGTCATTACATAATTTCAGACTTACTATATCTCAATATCCTTACTGATAATAAAAAACATACAAAATTAAAATACTGTCACAAATCACTTGCTGTCACAAATCACTTGCACTATTTGCTCGAATGAAGCTTAAAAATTTCTAGTATTATACAAGTTGTATGGAAAGAAATAGTCCACAGTGAAATTATTTAAATGATTATTTTATTGAACATACCAGTTAATTGTGTATGTTTAGGTGCAGATTTACCTGTTATAAGTTTGTGGATAGCTACATAGAATCATAGAGAATCATAGAATGCCGAAGGTTGGAAGGGACCTCAGAGGTCATCGAGTCCAACCCCCCTGCTCACGCAGGGTCACCTAGAGCACGTGGCACAGGGCTGCATCCAAGCGGGTTTTAAAGATCTCCAAAGAAGGAGACTCCACAACCTCTCTGGGCAGCCTGTTCCAGTGCTTTGTCACCCTCACAGTGAAGAAATGCTTCCTTAAGTTCCTGTGGAACTTCTGATGCTTCAGTTTGAAGCCATTTCCTCTAGTCCTATGCCTGCCCACCACTGAAAAGAGGCCGCCCCCCTCCTCCTCACTGCCTCCCTTGAGGTATTTATACACGCTGATCAGGTCCCCCCTCAGCCTCCTCTTCTCCAGGCTGAACAGGCCCAGCTCTCTCAGCCTTTGCTCATAGGGCAGATGTTCCAGGCCTCTGATCATCCTGGTAGCCCTGCGCTGGACTCTCTCCAGCAGCTCCACATCCCTCTTGTACCGGGGAGCCCAGAACTGGACGCAGTACTCCAGATGTGGCCTCACCAGGGCTGAGTAGAGAGGGATGATCACTTCTCTCGACCTGCTGGAGACGCTCTTCTTAATGCACCCCAGGATCCCGTTGGCCTTCTTGGCCACCAGGGCACACTGCTGCCTCATGGTCAACTTGTCGTCCACCATGACACCCAGGTCCCTCTCTGCAGGGCTGCTCTCCAGCAGGTCCACCCCTAATCTGTACTGGTGTCCAGGGTTATTCCTCCCCAAGTGCAGGACCCTGCACTTGCCCTTGTTGAACCTCATGAGGTTTTTCGCCGCCCAGTCCTCCAGTCTGTCCAGGTCCCTCTGGATGGCAGCACAGCCCTTAGGGCTATCAACTACTCCACCCAGTTTGGTATCGTCGGCAAACTTGCTGAGGGAGCACTCCAGCCCTTCATCCAGGTCGTTAATGAATAAGTTGAACAGGACCGGACCGAGAACTGACCCCTGGGGGACACCACTAAGTACAGGCCTCCAGCTGGACTCCGCACCATTGACAACCACTCTCTGCACCCTGCCATCGAGCCAATTCCTAATCCACCTCCCCGTCCACTCATCTATCCCACACCTTCGGAGCTTGCCCAGGAGGATGCTGTGAGGGACAGTGTCAAAAGCCTTGCTCAAATCCAGATAGATGACATCCACTGCTCTGCCCTCATCTATCCAGCTAGATATTCCTTCGTAGAAGGTGATCAGGTTAGTCAAGCAGGATTTCCCCTTGGTGAATCCATGCTGGCTACTCCTGAGCACCTTCTTCTCCTCCATGTGTCTGGAGAGAGCAGCCAGGATGAGCTGCTCCATCACTTTCCCGGGGATGGAGGTGAGGCTCACCGGCCTGTAGTTACTCGGGTCCTCCTTCTTGCCTTTTTTGAAGACTGGAGTGATGTTGGCTTTCTTCCAGTCTTCCGGCACCTCCCCCGTTCTCCAGGAGAGAGATAGATTCCAATGGAATCACACACTCAAAACTATATGTCTAATCACGGGTAATTCAGAAGACTTGCTCATAATAAGTCTGACAGATGGCCAAAGAGGTGGCACTTTCTGCAAGGAGCTATGGGATGTAATAAACCCACTCAAATGAAGCATCTTTGTCACTCACCTACTTCAACTTGAGGGCAACAAACTAGAAATTTTAAAATGCTTGACCATAATTTTCCTCACAAAATGATACAATAGTGATTTCTTCTGGTGCTGTAACAGGGAGGGAGCTGTTACACCAGGGAGTACACTCCAGATGGAAAGACCAGAGCTCCCTGGGGAACGGGAGAGTCAGTTTTTGGATCAGAACTTACCAAATTCTCTAGCTAACTATGCACTACTTGCTCTGCATTTGTTTTATGTACTGCTAAGTGGTAAAACATTTATTTTCTGTATAACACAGAGGTGTTGCTGTTGGCTCCCTGATATTTGGGATTCTGAGTGAAAAATTCAGGGGATTTTCTCAAGGTCTTTATCTGCTTAGAGCAAAGCTTTGTGTTTCTGACCTGCCAAGACCAAATAGTCTTTAGTACCATTTCGTGTGGATTAAGACCCAAACTTGCCCATAGCCTACACGGAAGCTTACATTCAGCTATGTCTCTTAGGTGAAGTCCATAGAAGATCGAAAAGAAAAATGAAAAGGAGAAAAAAAATAAAAAAGAGAGAAAAATCCCCTGAAGCTACTGTTATAACAGGCCTGAATGTGCCTGGATGAGTTGGACCTGGATCTGCCTATGCTGGTCAGCCACCTCCCCACATCCAGTTGAGCAGCGTGAAGTAGGCTGATATTGGGCTAACAAATATGCTATCAGCTTCTCTCCTTCAAGAGCAGATGCTGTTTTCAGCAAAGGACAACGGGATCAGTCACTCTGAAAATGCAAACTCAAAAAAACTCCACCTAGTTTTTGTTTCTTATCCCCACACGGGTCCACTTCATTTTGCAGTGCTGTGTGGAAGTACCTACTGCAATCCCAGGATCCCCAATCCTACTGCTGTACTTCCTACTGTCCTGCTGTGTCACACAAAACACTAACTTACTGAAATAGAGATTCCAGTTGCTCAGGGCTGACTCCTGAAATAGGTAAATGGAGCATAAGGCAGGCGGGAAGAGCCTTTCAGCAGCTATGCAATTCAGTGGGACTATCTGTCTGCTCCGCAGGAGCAATGAACATCCCCAGCACATCCGTAGGAATCGGGGCTCATACTCTCCACTGAGCGGCATGTCACACACCACGTGGTTCACCTTCCACTGGAAAGCATTTGCATGTAGTTTACATAATGTGGTTTCAATCAAAACTGCAATCCAAAGATGCCATATACAATTTAAAGATGAATAAAGCAAGGGCTGAAAGCCTCACTTCTTGAGAGCAGTATTTCAAAACAGCCTCTGAACGGCACTCTGCCATCAGGGGAAGAGGGAGAGCTGCAACATTTGATGCTCACCTGCATAACTCCAGGTTCCCACCTCATATAAACTACTTATTAAAGCCCTGCTTAACTGGGTTTCACTATTTTACTATAGCAAATAGTTAATATTACTATATTAACTATTCCGAGCTAAGCCTGAGGAGAAATAAAATTCATGCTACCTCCTTCATCGAGGCAGGGTTTGTCCTACTGCCCCCCTCAGCCTCCTGGTTTCCCCTACGTGGGCACGTTTGGCAGCTGAGACTCAGACAGCGCCGCTGCTGTATCCATTTATTCTGTAAAGTTTTAAGAATGCTTTCCAGCTTAGGAACTCCTTTTATCATCTGTTTCCATCACTTACTGCAAGAAAGGGCTTTCCAAAGCATCAAGGAAATCCGGTGTTTGTACAGGTGAGGAATTAAAAGCACTGGCTCAAGTCACGCACAGTGAAAATGAGAGCTCCACTTTTTTGCCCTACAAAGATTCCCAAGAATCCTCTATTTCTACCCTCTCTGGGGCTCTGAAGGCAGAACAGCAGTTATACCAAGCTGCATAAAACCCTTGTGATTTGAAGATTTTAAAGACTCCTGAATGGAGACCTTCAGCTGGTGATGAAAGCCAAGTTTGAACCCAAGGCAAGGGGCAGGAAATGAGTGATTTACTTTAATACCTGCATCAGATTTCAAACTGATCCAACTGTTGGACTGTTAGCATGAATCCATGCTTAGTATTAAGGAAAAACAAGCCAACACTCCAGAGCAGAGGATTTCTGAAAGCTCTGAGGAGCGTGCGTCACATCAGAGTGACGGCAAAAAGAGCATCACAGGATGGTTGAGGTTGGAAGGGACCTCTAGAGATCATCCAGTCCAACCCCCTGCTCCAGTAGGGACACCCAGAGCACGGGGCACAGGGCGGCATCCAGGCGGGTTTGGAAGATCTCCAGAGAAGGAGACTCCACAGCCTCCCTGGGCAGCCTGTTCCAGGGCTCTGTCACACTCATAGTGAAGAAGTTCCTCCTCACATGGAGATGGAACTGCCTGGGTTTCAGCTTACACTCATTACGCCTTGTCCTGTCACTGGCCACCACTGAGAAGAGCTTGGCCCCTTCCTCCCTACACTCTCCCTTCATGAACTTATACATGCTAATCAGATCCCCCCTCAGCCTTCTCTTCTCCAGGCTAAACAGGCCCAACTCAGTCTCTCCTCATACGAGAGATGTTCCAGTCCCTTCATCATCTTGGTTGCCCTCTACTGGACCCTCTCTAGAAGCTCCATGACAAGAGGGTTAAAGTTCTTGGAGGCGGGAGCAAACATCACAAAATACACACATATTCATTTCCTTTTTCCATATTCAATACAGGAATCGAGCACCAGCAGGACAGGCAACCCAAACACCACAACAATAACGAATCCAATGATGCAGTTTGATTTCAGGCAATTAATTTGCAATACTGATACCAAGACCTGCTGCCTTTCTGTCCGTTCAGAAATATATAGCAAGAAATGTTACAGTGTCAGACCACATAGTCCCACCTGTTTCCAAGAGAAGTTAAGTTGAAGTTAGTAAAAATATTCACTTTTCTTATGCACATCAAGATATGCTCCACGTTAAGGTGCATATCCTAAAAAAGAAAAAATTTACACAATTTTGATGAAATTCTTTTTTGATAAAAAATAAATATAAAAATAAGCAAATATTTCCCTTTAGATTTGAAGTTAAGCTCATTAATCTTTAGTTATGAAAAATTCAGTTTCATCTCAGAAAACCATGATTCT